TAGGCACAATGGATTCCACACCGGCATAGGCTTCTCAGGGTTAGCCCCAAACCTTCAAAATCTTTCTTAATTTCCATACTAATTCTCACCTTTTTTACCACAGGGTTGGCACTAGAAGCTTTCTTGGGGCCCATGGTCACTTATTTTCCAGAAACAGCACCGAAAATACTGTAATAATACGAAATATTCCGAGTGTATGCTTGGATGTTACCGCGGAGGCTGGCTGGTAAACAATGGGACGGAGCGGCACATGTGAGGCTGGCTGAGGGCACATTGGACGCGTCTCGGACGAAAATCGGTATGCGGGTTTTTAATCGGTATGCGCGGCAAAAATTTTGCGATAAAAGTAATCGTTATGCGGAAAAATCGCTATGCGATGCCATCGTTATGCGGGGGTCCACTGTATATATATATGTATATATATATATGTATATATAATATATATATATATATATATATATATATATATATATATATATATATATATATATATACATACATACATCTAGGTTTTTCTCTTTTTTCTAAATAGCTCTTGTTCTTCTTTATTTCTTCTATTGCCCATGGAGAAGTGGAAAAGAATCTTTCGTTCGTAAGCCATGCGTGTCGTATGAGGCGACTAAAATGCTGGGAGCGATGGGCTAGTAACCCCTTCTCCTGTAGACATTTACTAAAAAAGAGAAGAAGAAAAACTTTATAAAACTGGGATGCTTGAATTTGCGTGGATGTAGTGCGGATGACAAGAAACAGATGATTGCTGATGTTATGAATGAAAAGAAGTTGGATATCCTGGCCCTAAGCGAAACAAAGCAGAAGGGGGTATGGGAGTTTCGGTGGGGGGAAATAAATGAGATTAAATCTGGAGTATCTGAGAGAGTTAAGGCTAAGGAAGGGGTAGCAGTAATGTTGAAGGATCAGTTATAGAAGGAGAAAAGAGAATATGAATGTGTAAATTCAAGAATTATGTGGATTAAAGTAAAGGTTGGATGCGAAAAGTGGGTCATAATAAGCGTGTAAGCACCTGGAGAAGAGAGGAATGTAGAGGAGAGAGAGAGATTTTGGGAGATGTTAAGTGAATGTATAGGAACCTTTGAACCATGTGAGAGAGTAATTGTGGTAGGGGACCTGAATGCTAAAGTAGGAGAAACTTTTAGAGAGGGTGTGGTAAGTAAGTTTGGGGTGCCAGGTGTAAATGATAATGGGAGCCCTTTGATTGAACTTTGTATAGAAAGGGGTTTAGTTATAGGTAATACATATTTTAAGAAAAAGAGGATAAATAAGTATACAAGATATGATGTAGGGCAAAATGACAGTAGTTTGTTGGATTATGTATTGGTAGATAAAAGACTGTTGAGTAGACTTCAGGATGTACATGTTTATAGAGGGGCCATAGATATATCAGATCACTTTTTAGTTGTAGCTACACTGAGAGTAAAAGGTAGATGGGATACAAGGAGAATAGAAGCATCAGGGAAGAGAGAGGTGAAGGTTTATAAACTAAAAGAGGAGGCAGTTAGGGTAAGATATAAACAGCTATTGGAGGATAGATGGGCTAATGAGAGCATAGGCAATGGGGTTGAAGAGGTATGGGGTAGGTTTAAAAATGTAGTGTTAGTGTTCAGCAGAAGTTTGTGGTTACAGGAAAGTGGGTGCGGAAGGGAAGAGGAGCGATTGGTGGAATGATGATGTAAAGAGAGTAGTAAGGGAGAAAAAGTTAGCATATGAGAAGTTTTTACAAAGTAAAGTGATGCAAGGAGGGAAGAGTATATAGAGAAAAAGAGAGAGAGGTTAAGAGAGTGGTGAAGCAATGTAAAAAGAGAGCAAATGAGAGAGTGGGTGAGAGTGTTATCAACAATTTTGTTGAAAATAAGAAAAAGTTTTGAGTGAGATTAACAAGTTAAGGAAGCCTAGAGAACAAATGGATTTGTCATTTAAAAAAAGGAGAGGGAGGTTTTTAAATGGAGAGTTAGAGGTTTTGGGGATGGGGGGAATATTTTGGGGAATTTTAAATTTTGATAAAGATAGGGAACGTGATTTCGTGTTGGGGCCCAAGGGGAAAAAACCATTTTTAGGATGAGGAAGAGCCATTTGGAGTGGGGGGAATTTCGTGAGGCAGGGAAAAAGGGAAAAGGGGGTAAGGAAACCCCGGGATTGAGGGAAAAAGATGAAATTTTAAAAAAAGCAGGTGGGGAATTTTTTTTTGGGGGAAAGGGGTTGGGTTTGGAAAAAATTTTTTTAAAAAAGGGTTTTGGAAGAGGGTAAGGAACCAAAGGGATTGGCAAGAGCATGCATTTTTTTGTAAAAAGGGCTTTGGGGCCAAAAGAGATTAAAAAATTTAGGGGATAAGTTTTTGGTTATACCTGGAAAATTTGAAAGGGGTTGAGTTATTATTAAAAGAATTAAGAGAAGACGAAGAATAAGATAGCAAAAGTACAAGGGGGTTTTTAGGAAAGGTAGGGGGTGTGTGGGACCGGGTTTTTTAACAGTAAAACCATAAAAAGTGAAAAAATTTTAGATAAGGCAAAAAAGGAGGTTTTTGGGGCATTAAGGTTTTTTGGAAAAAGGGCGTATGACGGGGGGGTGGAAAGGGGGGGCAAGTGGCGGGAATTTTGTGGGGTGAACGGTGTGGAGGAAAGGTTCTAAAAAGCAGGGGAAGAGTTTTTACGGGTGGGGAGGGCCAAAGTTAATTTTGAAAGGAAAGAGGGAAATTATTTCCCCAGTAAAAGTGGGCCTTGGGACAAAAAGGTAAAGTCACCGGGGTTTGGTTTTAATAAAATTTATAAGGGGGTTTTAAGAAAAAAAAAATTTGCGAGGGTCTTGACCGAGGGGGGGGGATTTAAAAAAAAAAAAGAATCACACAAAAAAGGGGAGTTGAAAACAGCTGCTTTTTGCTGATGACACTGTGATCTGGGAGATTCTGAAGGAATTGCAGGGGGTTGGTGGAGGGAATTTGGAAAGGGGTACCCAAAGAAAAAAAAATTAAAAGGAATACAGGAAAAGAAAAAATTAAGATGATAAAAAGATTGGGTTTTTTTAAAAAGGTTTGGGATACATTTTGGGAGGGAAGAGTATGGAGGGGGTTTGAAGGGAATTCAGTTTTTTTGGGGAAATGGACGGTAAAGGGATGGGTCAAAGAAAAAAGGTTTGAACCCCCCCATAGAATTGATGGGGGGAAAAGGGTGAGCAGTGCACTTAGGGCTGTGGGGGCCCAAAACCCTTTGTCCTTGGAGGCAAAGAGGAGAATTTTAATGAGGGGATTTTTTTAAACCAAGCTTTTAAATTTTGGGGGTGTAAAAGCATGGGTGAGAAATTTTGCAGCGGGAAAGGCTGGGGGGCAGGGGGAGATTCATGCCCTGAGGGAAATTTCGTGGTGTAAATAAAAATCAGGGGAAATTGTATTTGGAAGTTGGGAGGGGGGGGATTACCAAAATTTTTTTGTCCAGAGGGCTGAGGAAGGGTTTTTGAGGTGGTTCGGGGCTGTAGGAGGGGAAAGGGGTGAAAAAAGAATGAAATTCAAGAGTGTATCCGTCTGTAGTGGGGGGGGGAAAGGGGGGGTTAAAAGGGGTTTGGGCCCAGGAAAAGGGTTTTAGGGAGGGGGTTAAAAGGGGGTTTTTTTGTGCCCAGGGGGTTGGACTTTTCCCGCCCGGCATGCGTGAGCGTGTTTTTTTTTGGAGTGAAAAGGGGACAAATGGGTTTTTAATGCTTGAAGGGTTTCTGTTGGATTTTTTCCCAAAATAGCAATTTGAAAGGGGGTTTAGGGAAAAACCGGGGAGGGGCCCGGGCTTGAGTCCTGGAGAAAGGGAAAACAGTGCCCGCACTTGGAAAGGGGGGGTTTTAAAGGGTTTCATTTAAAAACGTAGTGTAAAAACACCCTTCTGGCAAACAGTGAAATTTATGAATTTATGGTGAAAGTTTTTTTTTTTTCGGGCCCCCCTTTTCCTTAGTGGGGGAAACGGCCATTTTGTTAATAATAATAAAATAATAAAAAATGTAAATAGCGTGCTAAAAAAATCAAACATAGACAGGACTTGCAGCAGTGGTTTTAATTTGGGGAAAAAAAAAATTCCCGAAAGGATTTTTAGGAAAGGGACGGGGTTTTTGGGAATGGAGTTGTGAATGAGTGGGAAAAAACTCCCGGTACCGTCATAGAAACAAGACATTTTGTATTTTAAAAATAGGTTTGGAAAAAAACATGAGTGGGTGTTTAGCTGGACCCGAACTAGCTTTGCTACTAGGTTGGAGCCATGCTCCTCCCTTAACTGAAAGCGACTAACCTGACTAGGGCAAGGCCTTGGGTTGCCCGGGGGGGAATTGGACCCGCCCCGCGGACCAGTAGATCTGCTGAAATGTTTTCCCCCCCTTTTTTTATGTTTTTTTTTTTTAATTCACCCCGTGTTATTTTTTTAATTTTGAAGTCTTTAAAAGTAGAGAGACTTTTGGGTTTTTAAAGTTACCTGCATGCCAGCCACAGTATGTAAATATTTTTGGTATAGGGACACATAATAAAATTTTCTGAGTACATATAAAAATGAAAAACTTTAATACACTTGAAATTTTGGAAAAATTTCCCGACAAAATGGAGAGATGTGCTTTAGAGAAAAAAAACAGACCCCTATTAGCAAAGTTTGTGGGGGGGCCCCTGTAGCGGGGTTTTTTTTTTCATAACTTGAAAACTCCATTTTTACGGGAAAGATAAAAATGGGGGGAAGTAACCCCCCTTACTTCAAAAAATTTTGCCCTTTTGTTTAAGTGAGTGGTGAAAATATTGAAAAAGTCAAAAAAATGAAGAATTTAGTGTTTAAATTTATAACTGCTGTAATAGCAAAATGCTGTAAAACAAAGTGCTGTGAGGTTGGGGGCCCCCCTGTACTGATGTTAATTTCAGGGGAATTTGAAATTAACTTATGTTTTGCTTGATTTAGAAATTAACATTCCTGTTAGGCAAAACTCAGAAATTAACATAGATTCTAGCTTAAAGAGTGTTGTTTTTTTGTTAACAGGCACGACAGATCAACATTATGAACCTGCCAGCCGTTCTTTGAGAGTGACATCTCAAGGCTAACAGCTTCACACATGATTCCAAGAGAAAACTGATCATTCAGGCAGTTTAAGCTGTCTTGTCAGCTGTAACTTCTAGCTGCTGGTGTAAAGGTTACAATAGAAGCAAGAGTTTGACTGTTAGACAACCTACCATGAATGAAGACCAAGGATCAAACTCTTAATTTACCTTTTTAAGAACAACAAAAATTTGTTCATTGTGTATTAGATATGTACAGTTTTTTAAGTCTTCTAGTTTTTTAGTTCAACTTTGTGTTACATGTATATTTGCATTGATGAATTATGACAATGTGTTAAGTGTGAGAATTATGACTGAAGTGTGGAAGTGTAAGTGTTAGTGCTGGAAGTGAAGTGCCTCTTGTTTAGTTGAATTATTGGGACCAATTACCTATTAAATTGTATTAATTGATGGATCTGTTATGATTACCCAGTTACTTGACCCTTTCACTGTTGAGACCCCTGTTCACAAACTTGCTCTTGGTGTTGAAGAATTTAACCCTTTGACTGTCGCAACCCCCAATCCTGAGGTGTCTCCTGGTGTCGCAAAATTTAAAAAAAAAAAAAAAATTATTTTTTCTTCTGAAATGATAGAGAATCTTTTCCCAATTGTAATGACACCAAAAAACGAAATTTGATAGAAAATTGATGGAATTATACTCTAGCGAAGTTAGCGACCTCAGCGCTGTTTACAAATTGGCGATTTCGCCCACTTTGAGCCCTATTTAAGGCTAATTCCATTGTTCCAGTCAGCCAAACTCATAGCTATTTCTTTAGAACTCCATTTTTTCTATCGATTGAGTACAAGAAACTGCCCATTTACTGATTTCAACTACCTAATAATGTGGTCAGAAATTTGCAATTTGGCCAATTTCACGAAAACTAAAAAATATGACAATTTCAAAATAAGGTCCAGAATGAACAATGCAGACATTCCTGGCTCTAAAATAACATTTTCTTTGCTCATCAGTCATGTCTCCAGGCCCCTCTGATATTACTCTTGCTTTCTATTTTGAATTTTTATTCAAACAAAAAATAGGAGACTTACTATTATGCAGACTACTGCAATACTGTAATAATTGTATAAATAACATCAACCCATTCATGACTGCATATTAGAATGGCTAGTTGGACATTTATTGGACAATGGCATCATTTGTTTACTTTTGAACATTGGCAAAAATCAAACATTTTCCCTAATTTGAGCTCCATTTCTAGGTTCTTTTTATAGTAAAATCAATCAAAATCACCTCTATTTCTATATATGTTTTCTATCAAATGAGACCAAGAAAACGAGAATACAACCATAAATACTATACGAAAATAGACCACAAAGTCGGCATTTTAATTAAAAAAACGGTCGGAGTTTTTTTTCTCTCATTATGCATTGTGTGCTCCAGGATTTTTTTTAATGGTGCACACTGACCACACAGACCCATTCTCTCACATGTGGGCCTACCAGCTTTCTCCTGCTTGATTTGAAGCCGCTAGAATTTATGAGAATATATACGTCAAACACGGTACCTCGTAAGACGTATATGTAAGGCCGCGACAGTCAAAGGGTTAAAAAAAAAAATTTTTTTCTATAAAATAGGAATCTTTCCGATGGGGAAAAAACACTAAAAATATGAAATTGTGGAAAATTATGAAATTATGCCTCTTTAAGTTTTTTCTCCTGAATTTTCTGGGT